CCGCAAATTAAATTAATAAACTGTTGTTTGGTACAGCGAATCGCAGAAGAGAGGACATTTGGGGTTTGCACATCTTCAAAAAGTGGGCGTGGCCTCCTATCTTAATAACCACTAAAGGTATATCAACCAAATTTGCTCAGGACAATTTCGGCACCACAAGTTGAAAACTACTAAAAGTGCGATAACTCAACATAAAAATGCGTCAGAAGCATAAAATTTCACGTCCGCTATGATACAGAAGGGTCTCCTACTAGGAGCCGGTGTTAGTGTTGGATATTGGATCACCTTAAAGTGGAATTGTATATCGCAGTGATTGCTTTCTTATTGCAACCAAATTTGATGCGTAATACTATCTGCATTATTTAGTTATATTAAGAAAGGGGGCGAGATCCCCATGTATTTTTATTTTCACGCGAACGAAAAATTCGTATCCCGAATTTCGTGGGAAATTTTCGAATTTCGATTATGCTATTGTGAACTTCGGAAACCTGTCACATATGATTTTGTTTTGATTTAGTGGCATTGGGAAAAAAACTTTGTAAATTTATAAGCCAATTATGCGACTGTTTTAGCTTAAAATCGTGTTTTAATTTTTAATTGTATATCGCACATATATTTTTCGATCTTATCAGTGTTAGCTGCATAAATTATGCAGATAACAATTTTCGGATGTGTTGATATATTTGAAGGAATAATGAATTTAAAAAAACTTTTTGAATGGCCCTACATTGGGTAGCCACTTAAAATTCGATTATTACATTTTTCATTCCGAAATCGATTTCGATGCTAGCCCCTTGCTATTGGAAGAATCATGTGACTTCATTCAAAATACATGCACTTTCACCTTGTTTTCTTATCGAAAACCCTTTCCTATATCAGTATATTCCGCTTTACGGTTGACCAAAAACGTCAACTGTATTTTCCTAATAAGTATTGGGTCATATAAAAAAGTTTTTAAAATCGAGTAAATAGTTAATTAAGTATGTTCACACTTTATTGACATTTGTTCCCGGCTATCAATTTTGTGAACAAATTTCATGGATTCACATGAAAAATTTTACATCTACGATCAGGGAAAATTTTCAAATATGGAATATTTTTCCCATGTGAAGTTTACGAGAAGAAAAACCAAATTTGTGAATTTTTTCAATGAAAATGGTGTTCACACGAAGTTTACAATAAGGCTGATTATAATATTGGTCAATCTGTAAGATATCTTAATATCTTAAACTCAAATATCATCTTTTTGTGGTAATGCTATTTTATTATGCATAAAATGGATAAGTTTGGTCAATACTACTCATAGCCCCATATACCTACTATAAAAATTTCTAACTTTCGCTTGGCTTAGTACCGTATATATAGGTCAATATGTAAGATATCTTCAGAATCTTTGAATAAGCGCAGCTCTTATTTACTACATATAATAATTTAATAATTTGACTATAAAACGTTTATGTTGAGCAATAAGTACTTACTACATATGTGATATTTTAATGAAATTAAGTGGAAAAGTTTTCTTAAATATATGAATGAAATTGGTATATATTTTTATTTTAGTTCATATCTCTAATACAATATAATGATATCCGATCCCATGAATTAAGCTCTTGGGTTGAGTTTATATCAGATATAATTTATGTGAGTTAATTAGGTTGACATATAGCAAATTATAGTATCGAAACTTAATTATGTATTAATTTATATAAAAAGTCTAGGCTATGAATGTAATTCATTCATGTTTTCGTCGAATAATGAGTGTTAATTTTTATGCTACATTTTTAATGTAAAGTTTTGCAGCTCCTGAAAGTATTTTCTTGGCTTTGATTTTTGCAAATTGCGAGAGTATGAAGCTTAGCTTTCTCTTCTTCTTCTTACTTTTGTATTTTATTTATACACTCAAACATTAGCTTTCCCGCTTCCATTGCTTAATGCATTTCCTAACATTAATTATTGCTTTAATAATAAGCTAAATAAAGTTGGCAGACTTATCATACCACATATGGAATAAACTATAGCAAAGAAAGTCGTCAATGACGCAATTTTAATTTTGTTTATTGACATTGTCTGGTTTATAAAGATAGTAGTGTTTTTTTTGTAAGAAAATGATAAAAACCTTCTATCATATTTCATTGTGAAGAAATTATATATTATAGTTATGCCTCAAGAAAAGCAACATTCCCTCAACTGTACGTTATTGTTAAACTTTTTTACACATTTTCATATTATAGCAATATTCATTTCACTCAAAATTTTCAATTTCAGTTTTAAAGATGGCGACGAAATTTCAGAAGAAGATAACCATATCCAAATAAATAGAGAAAAGGATTACTTGGGATATTATGAACTAGTTATACACGAAGTACAAAAATTTGATTCTGGAATTTACACTTGTAAAGCTATAAATAAGTACGGAGAAACTCAATGTGAAGCAAAAGCAACAACTGTAGGTAAGTCAAATACATACATATGTGGCAGTTAAGGGATAAATAAATAGTACCAAGTTCAACCAGCTAGTTAATGTTATTTAATTGTATAATTTCATTTACAAATACGTTATAAGTGCTGTAAACGGTAGCAAACGTCTTGTCGCGCTGGATGATCAACAGAGATGAAGGCATAAGGAAAAGAAACATAATATCTTTAAAATTATTAAGCTGCTGTTTTCAGTATTGCCGTATTCCAAGAAAAAAGTACAATATCTTAGTAGCTGAAATAGGTGTTACCAGATCATAAATATTAAAAAAACAATAGTTTTTACATAAATCTTTTACAATTAGGAGCGATGCTAGTCGATATACATATATTCAAGGTGCGTTCCAAAGTAAACAGGACTTCTAAAAAAAAGACAGAACAACTGATTTTATCGGCAAATCAATTAATTTGTTTCAAAATAGTCTCCTTTTGCTTTAATAGAGCTTTTTTCACTCACAAGCCTTTTGAATGGCCTCCATAACGCTTTCCTTTCATCGGCAAATGAATTTTTCCGAAAAGGTAGAACTCGCATGGTGCCATATCAGGTGAATAAGGGGAGTGGTTGATTGTTAAAATGTGATTTTTGGTCAAATAATCGCCACAAGCGTCGATCGATAAGACGGCGCATTATCGTGCAACAAACTTCCATCTTCGCGATATTCGGGCCGAACACGTCGAATACGGCGCACTAAACGCTTCAAAACTCCAAGGTAGAATACCGCATTAACTTTTTGGTCGGGTGGAACAAATTCTTTGTGGACAATACCTTTGAAATCATAAAAACAAATCAGTATTTTCTTCACTTTTGACTTCTCCAGGCGCAATTTTTTTGGTTTCGGCTCATTTCTCATTTATGTCCTCACGACCACTTTGAAAACGTTGAAACCACTCGTGCACTCTGCTACGGGATAGGCAATCATCGTCATAAACTTGTTTTATCAATTGAAACGTTTCGGTAAAAGTTTTACCAATTTTAAAACAAAATTTAATGTTGGCTCTTTGTTCGAAGCTCATTTTCGCACCGATGACTAAAACATACTGACACTTAAAATGCAACAACTTCACTTCCAATAGATGAAATGTCATGAAATTTTTACTGAAGGTCGATAAAGGATAGCAGATTCTAACGCACTAGTCGACAAATAGATGGCGCCACTAGAGTTTACTTTGTTACTTTTTTACTGTTTACTTTGAAACACACGTTGTATAACTCATCAAACCTATATTAGCTACAGATTCGGCATCCATGTGTACCAACGTCATAATGATCCATCTACTCGGGGGACCACAAAGCATGGTACCGCAGCCCTATCCAAACCCTCTTTTCGGTATCCCAAGCATTAATTTTTAATAAAATTTAAATAATAACCTACCAAATGCAAAAAAGGAAGTCAATTACTCACACAGAAATAGGTATAGTTATTACGGTTTATTTTTGTAATTATACCCTGTATTTAAGTAATAACACAAACCTCACATTATTATATATTTCAAAAGATTGTATAAATACTGATGTAAAGCTGTGATGATAATTTTTTGTAGTCAAATCCTCCCTTCGTGCACAAATACCCCTCCGAAAAGGGGAACAACCGGCACACCATGAACATTCTCTATTACCAGAGAATGTTAATGAATAGAGAAGGAGCAAATGTTAAATAAAAGCTTTTTGAGTACTAATTTATAGTTCCAGATGAGGGAACATCGAAAAATATAACTTCGAAAAAGAAAAATACACCACACAATATGCGAAATGCTATAAATAGACACAACGAATATTCCTATATGAAAAATCGTTGCGCATACCTATTTAGATTTATGTTTTCAATTTCTATGATATGACAAATTTATATTTATGAAAAGCCTTCTGAACTAAAAATCTGTATTATCGGTAAAAACCCCAGAATTCATAATAAAATAAACATTTAATAGGCTAGTTTTCCCACTTATGTATGTGCATTGAGTGTGTAATTGCTCATTGACCAAAAGATAACAATAAAACAGTGGCTAAGTGGCCGCGTTTCTATTTATATAGTGGCTTAGGACGTAGGCGTGAGGGAGTTAAGCTCAATCCGAATACGAGCATATACGTTCGAATCCTAAAATACATAAAATTGAAATTATATTTAATTTTTTCATTTTATTAATTTGAATTAATTAGCATATCTCAATTCAATTACTTAAATAGCGTATTTTACTTTCAGAGATAATTAAAATATTTCAGGAAAATATGTTCATATGTTTAGGTTTATTGAATATTTCCTTATTATGCGTATTTACACAAATGTGATGATCACACATACATTCTTAAATACACGTACGCTGATGCCTGCTTCTTCTTGCCCCGCACAGGCAATGACTTTTGACCACATTTTTTGCTTTTTGCGAGTTGAACGATCGCAGGCAAGGAGGGATTGGGGCGCACTGCCACATAATTAATTCAGATATATATTTTATTTATCGAATTTAGTTTAAAAACGATTATAGGTATGAATATATGTGTATTTATATATATATATATAATTAAGTTTATAAAATGAATGAATGAATGAATGAAATTGAATTTGAAGTATTCAGTAAAATTGAAGAAGTTTCATTTAATTTCAGTAATTTTACAACTGATCCTATCATTCCCCTCGCATTTGTATTTTGCCCACAAGCTGCCTCCTCACAACGATGCTAAAAATCAGAAATTGAAGAATTTGTCTGATGTTCCCTTCAGAAAGGAGAATTGGCAACATGACCTATTAGCGAGTTAAAATAATATTTTAATTTTATTCATATTATGCACTATATATGGCATTTAATTAAAAAATGTATATAAAATTGCCATTCATATGAAATCTTTAACTACTTCTATATATTCTAAGCACACTCCATATAGTACTTTTATATGTTTACTTATTATTATTATTTCATAGTTTGTCGATTTAGCCAATTTTATCTAAATACGACGCTATGAAAATGCAGCCCAATCGGTAAGCGCATTATTTCAAAAGAGCATAAGTCAACTTTCAATAGCAAACCACTGCAAAAAAGACAAACGAGACAACATAGCCGACCGACGTGGTCGTAAAATTGTCGATTAAAACAAATTTTGCCAACACCCCCACGATGCGCTAAATTCGGTGTCAATATGTATGCGAGCTCGTATGCATGGATGTGAATATGTATGTTTGTCGACAAAGTCGTCTTTTCGTTTTTTTCAACAACATAAAGTCGGCGCGATCTCCCCGTTATTTTCTTGGCTTGCCACCATGCGCAGAGGAGTGTCAGGTGACGATTCATAATATATTAATATGTTGCTTAATTTGTATTGAAAAGTACTAATGCATTAATGATTAATTTTCGTAATATAATTAATATACACGTAAAAATATAAATACCAATAAATTCATACCTATAATCGTTTTTAAACTAAATTCGATAAATAAGATATATATCTGAAATAATTATGTGGCAGTGCGCCCCAATCCCTCCTTGCCTGCGATCATTCAACTCGCAAAAAGCAAAAAGCATAGACAAAAGTCATTGTATGTGCCGGGCAAGAAGAAGCAAGCATCAGCGTGCGTGTATTTAAGAATGTATGTGTGATTATAACATTTGTGTAAATACGCATAATAAGGAAATATTCAATAAACCTAAACATATGAACATATTTTCCTGATATATTTTAATTATATTAGGAAGTAAAATATGATATTAAAGAAATTGAATTATAATATGCTTAGACTCCAATTAATAAAATAAAAAAATTAAATAAAATTAAATTTACATGAGTTTTAGGATTAGAAAGTACAGGTTCGTATTCGGATTGTGCTTAACCCCTTCCTGCTTACGACCTCAGCCACCATAAAGTGGAAACGCGGCCGCTAGCCATCGTTTTATTGTTATCCTTTGCTCAATAAGCAATCACTCACTCAACGCACATACATAAGTTGGAAAAATAGCCTATTAAATGTTTATTTTATTATGAATTGTGGGGTTTTTACCGATAATACAGATTCTTAATTCAGAAGGCTTTTCATAAATATAAATTTGTCATATCATAGAAATTGAAAACATAAATCTAAATAGGTATGCGCAACGATTTTTCATATAGGAATATTCGTTGTGTCTATTTATAGCATTTCGCATATTGTGTGGTGTATTTTTCTTTTTTGAAGTTATATTTTTCGATGTTCCCTCATCTGGAATTACAAATTAGTACACAAAAAGATTTCATTTAACATTTGCTCCTTCCGGGTGACTGTCTGTCCGTCTTTGGAAGCTGTAACTTGAGTGAAAATTAAGATATCGTAATGAAACTTGGTACACATTTTTTTTGATACCGTAACACGGTTAGTGTTGCAGATGGGCGTAATCTGATCACTGCCACGCCCACAAAACGCCATTAATCAAAAACAAATAAATTGCCATAACTAAGCTCCACAACAAGATATAAGACTCTTATTTGGTATACAGGATCACATTAGGGAGGGGCATCTGCAGATTTTTTTTAAAGTGGGCGCGGTTCCGCCCTCTAATAGGTTTAATGTGCATATCTTCTATACTACTGAAGCCATAATAAAAAAAATTCACTGGGAACAAATGTTTTTAGCATCTCTATCGACGGTGTGAAAATGGGTGAAATCGGCCCACTCCCCATATAACGGTTCTGTTAATAACTTCTAAAAGAATGCCACTTTGTGACCAAAAATTGTGTAAATCGAATCAAAACTGTTCAAGCCTATAGCTGACTTTTTCCGAAAATATCGGTCAACATAGAGCAAGGCGGCAAGATCCACAAAGAAATCTAAAACGAGTATACCATTGACTTTGCGTGAGTATAAAATGTTCTGTTACATCCGGACTTAGCCCCTCCTTACTTGTTTGTACTAAGTCGAGGATGAAAAGATTAAACAGAATTGGAGCATTTACAGTCCCTTGTTGCAGACCATTTACTACGTGAAATTCGTATTATTTATATGAACTGAAA